TCAGCCTCCCTTGGACTAGGATCACAGGCATGTACCACCAGACACAGCAGATTTTTTAATATTGTTGTTCTTCTTTCTTTTTTTTTTTTGGTACCAGGGATCCAACTCGGGATCTTGCGCTTACAAGGCAGGCACTGGAACCACTGAGCTAAATCCCAGGCCCCAAGATTTTTTAATATTGATTTTGTTAGCAACTTGGTCAAACTCTTGTAATTGGTATGCCAATTATTTTGCATTTTCTATTACACATGTGTATCATGTGTGAACAATATTTGTTTGTCTATCAACTTGTCTTACTTATATAAGCTAGCATTTCTAGTATAATGTTGAAAAGACTTGCTGTGACAATTTGGATTTATTCAGCAAATTTCACTTCCCTCTCCCAACATGGTGCAGCTGTCTGCTTCATTAATTTTGGGTTTGGCCACGTGACTTGCCGTGACCAGTGAAAGATTGGTGGACATGACATGAGTAAAGGATTGCAATTAGGCTTATTCTTGGGCTTCTGCTACATTATGAAAAGCACATGCTTCGAGTAGTCAATTAGTCCCAGAATTAGACCCACATGGAGCAGACCAAAATTGGCCATTAACCCATTGCCTTGGTTTAAAACCAGCTGAATCCAGCCAATATTAACCTACTGATATATGAGGAGTAAGTGCTTTCTCTATGAAACTAAGTTGTGACTTTGTTTTGCACTTTGTGGCAATAGCTAACTGATACAGATGGTGATGGAGTAAATTTTTAATATGATCCTAATGTCCTATCATTAAGTGTTTTTGCTGTAGTTTATTATATTTTATTTTATAAAGACATAAATAACTAAATCTTTGATTTATTGTCTCATTTAAAAATCTTAATTTCATTAGTTTCTCCTGTTTTATAATTTCCTTCCTTGTACTAGCTATGGATTTGTGTTATTCTTGTTTTTCTAGAGCTTTGAGATGCATCATTAGGTTATTTATTTTGGGGTCACTTTTTCTGATGTAGGGACTCCCTCTTAGGACTGCTTTCATTGATTTTGTCCTATAGGTTCTGGTAGGTTGTACTGCCATTATTATTTCATTCTAGAAAGTGTTTAATTTCTTCCTTGATTTCTTCTGTGACCCACTGATTATTTGAGTACACTGTTTAATCTCTATGTATTTGCATATTTTCTGTGATTTCTTTCCCCATTGATTTCTAGTTTCATTGCACTGTGACTTGATAACATATACGGGATAATTTCAGTTCTTTTGTATTTATTTATTTAAACATGCTTTATGGGGTATTTTGGAGAAAGCTCCATGTACTACTGATTAGAGCATGTATTCTTGTGTTGTTGGAGGGGGAATACTCTAGATATTCATTTGTACAAAGATATCATTCAACTGCTCTTTTTTTGGTCTAGTTGATCTATTTGTGATAGTGTGGTATTGAGATCCCCCACTGTAACTATGTTGATGTTTTTCAGTGTACATTAGTATGCAGTGGTACCTCAGTTTATGAACTTAATTTGTTTTACAATTTGGAGGAAGATGGTTGCATTTGTGTTTGTGTGGGGAAGGTGGCTGTGGTTGTGTTTGTCACCTCATGTCATTTGTGAACAGAAGCAAAATTTGCCAAACACTTTTGTTTGCAAACAAAATCATTTGTGAACCAAGGTATTACTATATAATATATATACAATATTTATATTGCATATGTAAATATACATTACATAATATTCAATATATAAATTGTATGTAGTTATTTCTTCCTGTTGTATTGTTTAACCAGTATGCAGTGACTTTCTTTCCCTCTTCTGATCAATTTTGGTTTAAACTTCACTTTGTCTAAAAATAGGACAGCTACCTCTGCTTGCTTTCAGGCTCCCACTGCATGGAATATTATTTTTTCACCCTTTGATTTTTTAGTGTATGAAACTGTTTTGGGATTAAATGTGTTGCTTCTTTACAGCATACCACTGAATTTTTTATCTATTCTGCCAATCTGTATCTTCTGACTGGGAGTTGAGACCATTCACATTGAAAGTTATTACTGAAAGTTATCGACTTATTCCTTTCAGGCTAAGACACTGTCTCCAGGAGCTTGCCTTTCTTTCTTTCCTTCCTTCCTTTCTTTCTTTGTTTATTTGGTACCGGAAATTGAACTCGGGACCTTGTGCTTGCAAGGCAGATGCTGGAACCACTGAGCTAAATCCCTGGCCCCTTTTTATATGAAAATAGATCTAAGCTACATTATAAAGTTAAGGAAAAAAAATAGTACAGTGCCGTTCAAATTATCCCTACCATATGTAAGAATGGGGCAGTATGCGATGGAGGTAGTGGCTTCTTTAAAAAGTAAACAAATTTTCAGTCCTACTACTTATTCTCATTCATTTATACCTTAAAATAATTAGCATTTGAGTTAAAAATTCACCAAAATAAAAGAACAATTTCTGTATATTCTGATTTATCTAAAACAAAATGATAGATTAAATAAGAAAACATTTTCATATGTATAAATGACTTATGGGATGGGAAGGACAGGAAGACAGCAAAAGCATTAGCAGAAAGGCTTACAATTTTAACATGTTTTTTATTTGGTCACTTAACATCACAAACAAAATGACATCACATTACACACTATTGCTTTTACTGAAGAAGTCAACTAATTATCCAAAGTAGACAAAAAGTTAATTTCTTTAAGTTGCCAACTTGCAGTTTTTCCTCCAGGGAATACTAGTGCTTAAATATTTTCCAATGTTTGAACAAAAACAGAATCATTCTGTTATAGTAATGTAGTACTTGGGTCTTACCTGAACTACATTTTAAATTTTTCTCATCAAAAGCTGAAGACAGGCAAAACAGAAACACAAGTCATGATTTCTTTCAGGGTACTAATCCATTAATTTTCATTTAAAGATTGCTTGTGAGATGATATATGAAAATGGAAATTAAGCCTCCTAAGACATGTTCGTAGAAAAGCAGGATAGACCATTTATCCTGAGATATTTGATGCTGGTCCCCAATCATTATTTCAAGTAGGATAATAAACATTATTGCCCACAAGCCAAATGTCTTCTTTTCTGTCCCTTGATACTACGGTAACACTTTCTGGTCTAAAAATGAAAATCCACTTTTTATCCTCATGTAATACTTTCCCTTCGAGGAAATTTTAGACCAAATGCTATTTTACTGCATGTTCTCAATGGACAGAAACAGCATATCAACAATTATGAACACTGGAATAAGAGTGAAGCGTACATATGTTTTGACATAGAAAAATACATACAAATCCAAGTACCTCTTAAAATAGAAAAAAAAATCAGGAGCATTTTAAAGAAAAAGATTCTTTTCTGAACTGTAAATAGCGCCAGTTTAAGACAGATTTTTGTTTATATCACGTTTATTTACAAGAGGTTGGTCTAGGTTTATACATATCCTAATTTTTCCTATTTCTTTAAAGACTGTCTTTCAGAATTTAAACTGTAACTGTTACAACTATCTTTTTTAGACTGTTGTCACTGGCACAATCTCTTAAACCTGACACATACAAAAATGCATTTCCACATTGATCTTTTTTGATGCTAACACTAATATTCTTCCTGCTACTTCAATGCCAAATAATATTTTATCACTACCTTGGCATTTTACTAATTATAGAAACAGGTAAGATTCTAAATGTGGATTTTAAGACTACATAAAATTTTAACACACGTTGAAAGGGAAAGTAGGAAGGCTGAAACAATTATACTGTTCTTTTCTTGTATGTCACTAATACATATAAATCAGAAAGCTCGTGTTACATTCTAATGTGCAAGTGCTGACAGGATGCCTTTCCAGACTATTAAATCTTCAAATTTGATGTGGCTTTTTGATCAGTTGTTATAGAATTGTCTGAAATGGTTAATGATTATTTTAAGCAAAAACAGAACATTATCTGTAGTGTTCCAACAGAGGTGAAATTAAAGAACATATTATTGAACCAACTTTATAAGGACATTTTCTTGAAATACTATGTTTCTTTTTCCCTAGAAAGGGAACAACTAAGTTAACAGGTTCTTTTTCCATACTTCAAACACTTTTTAAATTAAGTACACATACTGACAAAGGTTTAGTCTCAAGATCTCAGTTGTTGAAAGACCAAAATACAAAGATGAGCAGTTTTAGCACAAAAATTAAGCACTAACAATTGCTTTCCATAGACTAGTTAACATCTTAATACAATGAACATCAAAGATTAACATCTGCTTCTTGTTAGAATTTTGCTACACATCATAAAGCTCTAGCTGGACAATAAATGAGATCATTTTTAAAAAACTAAGTGAAGATATTCCCAAGGTTGAAAAGTTTCCTTATAAGAAATTATTAAACTCCTATAATACTGCAAAGTTAAATTTCCACTATTATAATAAAATGAACAAGGTTTTTAAAAAAGTTTTATCTTGTTGAGAAAAAAATAGTTTTAACCCTGCATCTGAGATTTTCCAATCAGATTATTTCATACTACTTTTTGACAGGTTTGGAGAGGTATGTCAATGGATATGAGCAAATGACTTGAAAAGTACTAAGTCTTGCTATATCACATAGAAGTTAGTCCTTAAACACTTGATATATACCACATTAAAAAATGTGCAAAATATCATGTTGCAAACTAAATTATGTCTTTAACAAGTGAGTTTTGAAGGATTTAAGAGGAACATAGTAATGAGATGAACTTTCCTGGCCTTCAGCTCTTTTAGTTTTTTGTTTTGGGGACAGGTTCCCACTATGTAGTTCAGGCTGTCCTTGCACTATATAGCATAGGCTGGCCTTAAACATGTGGCAATCCTCCTGCCTCAGCTTCCTGAGTGCTGGGATTACAAGCATGTACCACCACACCTAGCTTTAAGCTCTTTTAGTTTTGCTAGGAGCGCAAACTTATAAAACACACCGAAAGGAATTGTCCCATTAGACGCTCATCCCATATAATCCTTGACAGCACTTGCTGTCCTCCTGAGATTTTAGGAGAATAAAGCTATATAAAACACACAGTCATCAGTCTCAAGCTGCTTTATTATCCCACAGACTGTTAACGGAAGGTCCATATATCATTATCTAGAAACAGCATGGAGTCAAAACAAAGAGAAGCAAGAGTCAACAGTCAAATAAAGTAATGATGTTTAACTGAGATTTTTAAATGCTTCTTTTTCTTGTTTTAGAGACAGCTTTAATAGAAACTGTCCTTCAAACACAATCAAGATTTTCTTAGCAAATACGTCTCTTTTAATAAACTGTATTAGTAGAGGCCCTCACACCAAAGCACTAAATAAGACTGTTTTTTTCCTACAACTGAAAAAAAGTAAATTCTGAAAATGAGAAAATACTTTTAAACTTCAAAATAACATTGACAAAGTGTGTTATTTAAAAACAAAAAGCTAATACTGTCATTCTCTCATTATCTGTTATGTTCCAGTAATCTCCAGAAACCAAAAAGGAGTTCACTACTCTTTTTCCTGATAGCTCTATGCTTTTGTTACTAATATAGTGACTTTGATAAGTGACTGAGATGCAAACAAAGAAAGTCATAAAGAACTCCTCTTAGGTTGGAGGTGTAGTTCAGTGGAAGAGTGCTTGTCTAGCATGCAGGAGGCCCCAGGTTCAATCCCTAGCACTGCCAATTAAGCAAAACAAAACAAAACAAAAAACCCCATCAAAAAACAAAAAATTACTCTTGCTGTTAATTACCCTAGAAATAAAAAGACTAAGCAACTACAACTTGTCACTTGTAGACTAAAAAACAAAAAAAATTTTAAAGAGCTTTGAAAAAGATACCAACTTGATAGCTACAATACATAAAAATGAAAATTGATTTGTACACATTTTAATCAACCAATTTAATATAAATACCTGACTTATACTTTTACACTAACAGACTAAATCCCAAGTTCCAAACTGTAGTTCACATGACTCTACAGAAGGGATCTCTGAAGGATAAGGATAAGGTAACTTTGGAGGACAGTGTATAAACAATTGTAAACATACACTGATTGTCCACTAGCTTTCTTAAATAGAATTTCTAAAGTATTTTTGTAGGAAATTATATATAAGAGTGTAATTGATCAGATAATTTCTATTACAACATATAAATTCTGTTGTGTGTGCAAAATATGGTAGAAATAGAAGCTACTATGGATGATTTATATTTTTAAAGTAAGTGCTACATTGCAATCCATTAAGAGTCCTTTAATCTTTTCATGAAACTTCTCTCTATAAAGGTTGAAATACATAATGCTTTCTGGTTCCTCTTCAAACCAAAACTTGTCAAATTCATAGACAAGATAACCTGTAGTTAAAGAAAAAGCAAAACAAACAGTCCTTAATGTTAAAATCACATTAAAACCATCACACTTTTATAAAGCATATAACCATCCTTTAAATTCCATTATTAAGACACAGTAATCAAAAATAATTTAAAAACTATTAGAAATCTGCAGACTCTTATAAGAAATATTTTGTATGGTCAAAATAAACAGTAATTTCAATAAAATATTTAGTGTACATTCATTACTTCTCTTAGAAATCAACAAACCCCTCAAATGTTAGAGACACAGAACTTTCCAAAGAGACTTGGAGAAGAGGCAAGGTTGGAGCACAAAAGTGAAAGTATGAGAAAATTTTGGACAAGGATAAAGAACAAGAGAGTTGTTTCCATTTAATTTCTAAATCTAAGTGTTCGCTTCAGCAGCACATATACTAATTTCTAAATCTAAATGTTATTTGTATTTTTCAATGGACTACCAGTACTGTCTCTCTCTCTTTTTTTGTGTGTGGTACCAGGGATTGAACTCAGGGCCTTGTTGTTTTTTTTTGGCACCAGGGATCGAACTTGGGTCCTTGTGCTTGCGAGGCAGGCGGCGGCACCACTGAGCTAAATCCCCGGCCCCCGAATTCAGGACCTTGTGCTTGTCAGGCAGGTGCAGCACCACTGAGCTACCTCCCAGGTCCTAGTACTGTCTCTTTTTGAAAAGAATACATGAACTGTAAATAGGCTTAACATTTTTGTTTTTCGGTATCTTCATTCATTAGCCAAATGAATCCTCAAAATGCTGAAAATGTCTCATGAAACCAAACATATATATACGTGAATTTAAATGTAAATTTAAAACCACCCATATTTTATATTATAGCCACCCTATTTTGTGTTCAAGCAAATGTATTTAAATTGTTTCTAAATACATCTATGGTGAGTACAATGTGCTCATTTTCTCTCATTAACTACATGACCCCAGGACTATGCTACTTTCCCCATTGTACCCCTAAAGGAAACAGGTGCGGAGAGGCCAAATGATGTGGCCAAATCACTTCGTTTGTAAGCGGCGTATACAATTATAAATTGGACTTGTTTCCATTAGAACCTCATTGCTCCTTCTAAAAGGCTTTTCAATCTTGTAATTATTTTTAAATACTATGTTCTATTTTCATTTCATTAAAACTTATTTTATACATACATACATAATGACAATAGCACCTAAGATAGAAATTACACATAAATATACAAATTGAGTCTGTGTTCTCATCTCTACCTCTAATACTTGGACAGAGATGTAGATAAAAGAATTTAGAGATTAATATTCTCAGTAGTAGGAAATATCAAGTCATACAAAGCTTAAGATATATGTTATTTGTTTTATTATTATTTCTGCCTGTTAGATTTGGCTATTTTCTCTTATGTTCTGTAAACTGCTTTTTTATTACTGTCAGTAATGTGGCCCATTCAAATGGCTTCACAGGCTGAAACAAACTGCTCAAGTCCTAGAAACTTCTTGCTTCAGAGTGACGTGGTTCGTGTCCGAGATTGACTCAAAGAACCAAACCTCTAATAGCTACATTGGTTTAATAAAACATCAGGAAACTACAGGAAAAAATGGTATCAAAATTCTAGGAAGTTGGCAGGGGTACCCAGACTCTTAAACTCTGTAGAAAGTGATGGAAATGAGCTATTTCCATAGAGCACATAGATTGTTCTTTTGACTATAAGATGTTTGAAATAAACAATATAAATTACCATACAAAAGTTCTAAACTTAACATTTCTGCATGGTTTGACTATAGGGGTTAAAACAAGGAAGGGGAGGTGTTAATGGTAAACCAGCACGAAGGGTCTTACCAGGTAACAGAAATGTTCTAACACTGGATTATGATGGTGGCTGTCCAACTTACTAAGTTTATTAAAACTCACTGAAATACTTCCAGTGGGTAAAATTATCCCTCAATAAACTTATTGAGGCACAACTTTTTGGTTATAGAAACTTGAGGTGTTATTTTTTTCTGAAACCACAAAATCACAAGTCCTTTGGTTCTCACATACTGTAACGGAGACATGCTAGACAGCAGTATCGGAAGTCGGACATCCTGCAACCCGGAGCCCTTGCTGGACCAGCAGGCAGCAGCTTCCCAGGGTGACTGTGGATTCCTGCCCACAATTCACCTAGCCAAGAAGGTGACAATGGAACTAAGAGGCTATGTTCCGCTACTGTCCCTAGGCCTTACACAAAACACAGCCACCACAAAAGCAGGAGGATTAAAAGGAGAGCTGAAGACTGATCACAAGGAAATACATATGAAAGCTAATCTATTAATAGTTTTTGGTTGTAAAAAAAAAAAAAACTAATGACTTTGGAGCTATTTTTTAAAACACAAGTTTCGAATTATAATTCTAGTTAGAAGAGGCTCTTTTTTTTTTTTTTGATATGGGGGGGGGAATTGAACTCGGGTCCTTGCGCTTGCGCAGGAGGCGGTGAAACCACTGAGCTAAATCCCCAGCCCAGAAGAGGCTCTTTTTGAGAATAGAAGCAGAACCTTAAGATACGAAATTTCTACTGATAAATGGCATGAAAATTAATTTTTGAAGCTTCTGCTTAAAAGGAGAGCTCCTATGTGTGCGTTAAAATGTCTCAAGAAATTTGAAAACTGTAAGCTTCACTGTTTGTAGGATGAGCCACAGCTCTCACATGGATCTGAACTGATAGAAACAAGGCCACTGAAAGGGCTTTACTTTTCCATCTTGCACAGGACTTTTGATGCCCTTCCCAGACAGAACCCAACTGAGATGCTTATATCGAGGGCACTGGAAAACAACAGTAGTACCCAAAGATCCTCAATTGACCAGTCTTTAAGGGATAAAGATCAAAGGACATTTTGCACTGTTTTCCTACCTACCACCCTCATGTATTTACTTAAACACAGGAAATTGTTTATTTGAGGGTGCTTTTGGATTATTTTAAATTTTGTCTTATATTTAAGAGCAGCATCAAACAGGATATACTGCATTAGAAAAAACAATATGAGTTGCAAGTCGGCAAAGTATCAGGAGTACAGGGACCATGGTAAAAGAGGGATGAGAGATTTGGGACAGGAAATCAAACAAGACAAGCTGGGGGAGAGGGCCTCGGTTCCACTGCAATGAACTGAAAGAAAAGAACTGGTGAGCTGGGGGTGGGAAGATGAAGATCTGGATGAAAATCAATAAAATGTCTGAGCTTCCCTAAAAAGAGATTGGCTAAGTCTGAGGCAAGGCAAACTGAGGGCAAGGGTTCTTTTCAGATTATAGTACAAAAATCCATCTTGCAGTATATATTTATAGATAGATGTGTTAGGATTATTGGACCTAGCTTTGTTATTTCAATCTAGGAGCAGGTAAGGCATGCAGCCAATCTCCAGGTTATTCGTGAGGGGCCAGGAGGGTACGTAACCAAACAAAGATGACCTTTGATGGTAAAAGAAAGCACCTCATGCCTGTGAAGAATCTTCACTCTACTTCAGTACAATCAATCAGCAAGGCAGGAAAACCACCTGTCCCTCCATCTGAAGACACTGTACACTGACTTCTACCTTGTGGCCCCATCCCCATAGGATCCTTTCTCAGATGAAGAAAAAAGGTCTTAACACACAGTGCTGGGGCTGGAGAGAGGATGTGGGCTACAGCTCTCTACTGTGGCCTTAGTACACACTGGCATTTCAAGCTAGGGACTGGATGAGATCACTCAGGGAGACAATGAGGGCTACAGAGAAAAGTGAGCTGAGGGCTGTGCTCCATGGGGCTCCACACTTAGTGAGGCCGTGGGTGTCTGTGGTAAATCCAGAGAAGGCAGAAACTGCAGCATCAGAAAAGCCAGGACAATGTTTCAAGAAGAGAAGTGTGGTCACTGATGTCTACTACTGCTAAAAGATCAAGTAACATGAAGAAAAATCATGGGCATTGTATGAGGCACGAAAAATACTGAGAAAATGAGTTTCAGTGAAGTGAGGAGAGAAACTAAATTGAAGTGAAATAAAACTGGAGGTGGAGGAATGAAAAGCACTTATTTTAAAGGTTTTAAGATGAAGGGGAACAGAGAAACAGAGTGGTGTCTGGAGATGGATGCCACACTACAGATTTGAATGCTTTGCTTCTAAGCTTCAGCTTTAGGAGATGGGTCTATTCAATTCAACCTTTAGGATCCAAACATCATGAGAGGGAAAGCTCATGCACAGTGATAATGACGACTGCATAAGGAGTGGTTATACCAGAGCCCTACCTACCACAGGGAACCCTGCGCTTGAAATGAGAGGGGCCAAAAGCTCCTTTAATTAATTTACCTCACAAGAGTAACAAAAAGTAATCTGTAAATGGTCTATCCTATTCATTAACCAGAATTAAAGATGCAAAATTCATTTTGCAGTTGACTGGATATCTACAGAAGTACATGAATTCTAAACTTGCATAAATGTGAAAAACCGCCTTGCTAAACAATTTTTTAATCAACAAATATAAAAGGTGAAGTACCATATACTCCTAGGAATTCATCTTCTATTATTTCCTGGCTTTCAAAGATCCTACATAATAAAATGGTAAATATAAGTTTTATACTTGATATATTAAATTTAAAAAGGTATTATACCTTCCGAATGGTTTAAAAAGTTCCTTAGATCCAGTATTGACTCATTCTAATACTCACAGTAAAACTGGTGAAAGTGTTCCATTGTTGGCACACCAGAAACAAAGTTGTAGAGATGAAACTTCAAGGCTTCACTCTTCAGTAAGCTATAAGCCATCTCTGTAAGATTGATTCCAACTATTGCATAAGAATACCTATGTCAGAAATATTACTAGTTATACCAGCTAGCCAGACAGTGCATAAAATAAATTTAAATTATGTAAGGAATTAGTAAAAGGTAACTGTTTCATTTCTAACACAATATTTTTCAGAGCAACTTCTACATAGTAAGAAAAATAAAACAGAATAGTTAAAAAAAATTGTTTTCTGGGCTGGGGATTTAGCTCAGTGGTTCCACCACCTGCCTCACAAGCGCAAGGACCCAAGTTCAATCCCTGGTACCAAAAAAAAAATATTGTTTTCTAAAGTCTATTGATTTTTCTGGATAGAATCTAAGAAATAAAAATAAAGTCCTGTTCACGTGATTTCTAAAACCAAAGAAGAACTAAATTCACTAAATTTCACTGATCTGTAAAGTACATAGATAGTCTGGTATTTTCTTCTCCATTAGCAAGATATTTGCTTTTATGATCTAACATTATTATGTTTTCCTAAAGATTAGATAGAATATAAAAACAAAATAATGATAAAGCTAATAATATGACCTCAATTTGCCCTTTATTTTACAAATTTCAAAGCTATTTCTCATTTCCTGTTTCTAATTTCAAGGTATTCTTAATCCTATTTTCAAATCTAGTCTCAAAAACAAATGTATAGAGGCCCTCAATCTCCATTTTATAACTATCCCTTATGTTGTGATAAAAATATCCTGAAATACAGTGAAACCTTGGATTGTGATTTGTAACTTGGTCCACAAATGTTCTGCAAGATGAGCAAACATTTCTAATAAATTTTAACTTGATAAGCAAGTGATGTCTTACGAGTCATATGTCATGACGAATAGCACATAATCACAAGTCTTTCTTTTGCTGCTTTAATACACAAGTGCTTTGGATTATGAACAGAACCAAAGTTTTACTGTATATACAAAAGTTTATGATCACATTTTTCCTTAAAAATAATGTCTCATGCAATATTCTTTATAAAGTTCTTATTAAAATAATATCATTTTAAGAAGTACCCGGAAATGCTTTCAAATGCATTTAATCATCTAATCATATTTAATGTTACCCAGCTTACCCTAATTTTGGATGATTTGAGCGGGAAAGAATCTGATGAGCTTCCCTGGTGTAATTTTCACTGAAATACCTAAAAATGTTTAAGGAAAATAATGAAATGAGCATATGTCGTTCAAACTTAATAACACTATCCACAGGCAACTGCTATCATCGAAATGATAATCCTCGTATTGCCACAATCATCCCAATCTCCATCCCAAATCACTTCCGTGATTCACAAATGTTAGTGACTCAAAATAATCCTAAGGAATTAGGCCTATCCAGGACAAGCATAGATCTTTGGCAAGATTATAAAATATGTTTAAAAATCACATAAAAAGAGACTTCCTCTCTACATAAAAAAATGTTTACAAAATGTGCTTGCTTGATTTTTATAAAACACTCGAAAATGTACCTGTTGGGACACTCTTCCTTTCACCAAAGCTTATTATTTCTACTACAGCCTAAGTCTATATTGATTAGCAGCATTCTCCGTGCAATCAGAAGAGTTAATAATGTTCCATTTATACCAAAAAATTAAAAAAAAAAAAACTTGATCAACTCAACTATTGGCAGTAAAACAGAAGCATCAGGTACAGGAGAAACAGAGCAAGCTACCTCTTTGAAGGTTCACACATTTTTCTGACCTATGTTAACACAAACTCCTTGAATTGTTAAAGATGGGACCGAACCTGTTCAACTTTTGTCTCACTTCATAATCAATGGTGCATGCAAATGCACACTCCCCCCCACAATGACTGGATGCTGACATGAAGATAAATAATAAACTAAAACACTGATTCCCATGGTTCATTTAAATTGTAGAGGGCATAATCACTAACATTTTCACAAAGTATCAAAATTTCTAATCTTCCTCTTCTATTTTTTTCTTCTGTGGACTAACAGCACATGCTCCCATTTTTCTTCAGTGGCTCAAAATCAACCCATGAAGCAAGGGGCCGTGATGCCCATGAGTGAAGGGTCAATTAAGAATGAAGGTGCTCCTTTCGATTTCCTTTAAGTATGTGCAGATCTTTCTGTGGGTACATTTTCTGAAGAGAGAATATACAAAGCTTTCTTCAGATCCTCAGAGACATCTGTAAACCCCAAACAGTAAAAGTCCTGCTTAGGGCAAAGCTTTCCTAAAGCTCCAATTCTGTTTGCTCCCTGGACTGTTTATACTTCATTTTTGTATACAATACTCTTAATATAATTCAGTACTCAGCATTTAAAAAGTGAAAGTATTCTTAAAATAATCTTTAAGCAACTTTCAATTTCCTCGCTGAATTTATCATCTGCACTGACATTTCCTTTCATCTTTTTTCCTTCTCCTACTTTTCCTCTCCACCACTCTTCCTTCCTACATACACTTCTGGCCTTTACTTGCACATTCTTTTGCTTTGTTTTTTCATTTTCCTCATTTAGTCAGATTTTTTCAGTCTCCCTTGAATTCATTTTCTGCACATCCTTTTTCTTCTCCATCCACCCCACGTATTTAACTGAAGCCTTATTTATCAAACCATCCATATACTTCAAAGCCAGAAAATATATTGAGATTACATGACAAAGGCCAAGAAATACAAAAATAATAAATGACATAGTTTTACTAGTTTGCCTGTTCCTCAACTGCGTATTTGGCTCCTAATGTGTAAAGGACAATAAACCTAATTACAGTGGAATTACTTTTATGTTTTAAGTCATTTTAATACACTGTTGGCAATCAAATAACCACTAACATATGGTCATTTTTCAAATCAGCTAATACTACCTCTAAGTGGAGTGAAAATATCTGAAAGTCATTTAAAGGTCCACCAGAATCCCTTACCTCAGTTTAGAGTCAAATCTTATTAAATTATTTAAACTTTACACTAAATTTTGTTCTGACAGATGCTGAGATATCATTTTTTATAATTAAAGAATTAAGATCACTTTTTTCTAAGAATTCGTTATTGGGAATATAAATGCTTATAAAGTTTAGGTATTTCAAGAAATCACACATTTTTATAATTGAAAAAAACTGTAGATATTGAAATCCTACTGTAAGGTCTTCTAAAAGTCTTCTCCAAAATAGCCTTATTGATATTGACCCAAATATTTTTTTCTCAAAATTCACTTAATTTAGCTCAAATTTCAGAATTAATTTTTTCATAGTCAGAATCAATTGGCCTCTCATTTTAGACATTTATAGTCTTTAAATCATAATTCATGGACAGATCCAAATACTAGAATCTGCAATCCCTAATAGGAGGAAATTCTTCCAGATTACTTTCTAGAATAGTTTTGGCTATCAATTAGGACTTGAGTTGCATGTTTTGGGATTGCATTCATGTACACAACCATAATAAGGAAAAAAGAAAGAGTAAGTCCGCGTTGGCTCTGAAAGGTCAAGGATTTTTATCAGTTGTCACAAGTAGTGAAGAACACATGTGAAGTGACTTTTTATCATCTCATCTAGTTATTTTTCCCCTAATGGAATCAGAGCCCAAAGAGAAGAAGCAAGAGGATATTTTTAGTAAGAAAAGAATGTACACAATGCTGAAAGAAGTATCAGACAAGGATCCGGAAAAGAAAGGAAGTGGAAAGAACCAGTAAGTAAAGAACCTCCCCTTCCATACACATGCATTGTCTTGTGTTGCTGCACATCAGCATATCCTCTAGCACTCATTAAAATTCAGAGATAGTATGAAACAACTAGATCGATTCTTATTAGAATGTAACTAGATTGGAAGTTACATGTAATTTCATTAAAGAAAAGAAAGCTTATTTTCACTTACACAAGATTGATTAATCCAAGTATGCCCATGCCTCTGAAGTCTGTTTTGGGATCATCACCCTGGAAACCAATGTCAGCCCACTGCTTGGAGATTCTAGCTGTTAGCTTTACTGTGGGCATTAGTAGATTCCAAAGCTGTGAAAACATGCTTCCATGTTACAAATAATGAGTGATGTTCTGAATTTACCAAGATATTTCCCTTCTCATGGTTTACATAACTAGTGATTGCATGCTTTTGATTAAACAACTTTTGTAAACAAATCATAGTTCAACAAAGACTTTTAGAAAACTTTTCAATTCCCCTAAAAAATGTAGTATATTCAACTAAAGTGACTGTTATAAAGAAGAGAATTTGAGAAGATAGCAAATAATACAAAGAAACCCGAAACAATGAGATTTTTGTATCTACTAATTAATATATGCATACCAGAACTGATTAATTGCCTGCCTGAGAAAAACACAGTATTAGGGAAATTGGCCCTGTATTTCAACGGGCTATATTATAATAGTGGGTGATTAATCCCTAATCTGGTGAATAAAAATAGGTCTGAGGGAAGGGATCATGAAATTCATAATATCCTAACCTACATTATAGTTACTTTATAAATTTTCAGTTTTTAAAAAAAATGATTTGGTTTTAAATAATAAGTATCTTTTAGAGACAGAGAATTTAATAACAGCTATCAGATACTAAATACCAACAAACTAATCAAAGCAAAATAAAGAAAATTTAGTCGCTTCAAAATTTTGTATCACAAGTCGTCAATCAAAACAGACTTGCAGGGCTGAGGATTAGCTCAGTGGCACCGCACCTGCCTTGCAACCGCAAGGTCCTGAGTTCAATCCCCACTACCAAAAAACCCCCAGACTTATAGAAGTTGATTTAACAAAAAGTTTGTGAAAATTCACAAAATAGAAACCACTTCCATTTCCCCCATTTCACTACCATTTCCGGCACTGTTGATTAAAGGACTCCTAATGAAAGCATCCTATTACCTAAAATAAAATGTGAAGACCTTCCTGAAGCCAAATCTAGTCATTGGACTGGGTTTCATCTTGTTCTTACATTTATTAACAACACATGCAATTAGTTCACATTAACATCTCCTCATGAATTCCGCAAGTATGTGTATGCCAATGTGTGTGTCCCGAGAGCTACAGTGTAGAATCAATAGAACTCAAAATTTAGTATGCAGAAGCAATTTCTGGCTTGCATCCCCGGAGATTCTGATTTCATAAGGATAAGGTAGAACCCTGGAATCTGAATACAGTTAACTCTGGTTAAGTCTAGTGAAGGTGGTCCTAGGTCTGTACTTAAAGCAACATGGATTCCATAGCTTTTTAGCCAGGAAGATGGCTGAGTTACACATGCCGGGTAAATCACTGCCAAGAACTGGCTCTCTGCCACCAGGACTGAATTTCATAAAGAATCATCAAGATAAACTGCCCTGGACTAGAATGTTAGCACTTGTATCTTACCTCTTTCAAATGGAAAGGTATTGTATACAGAAAGGGTCTGAAATGAAAAAAATAACTGAGGATAGAAATAGCAGTTAACCCTCAGTGAGTGTCACACCCTATTTTAAACACTTCAAATATAAAAGGACAATCCACACAAACAGCCCTTTGAGATACCTACTTTCACTGTCCTCATTTTACAAAACTAAGTTGTACTTTAATTTTACAATTAGGTGAAGTGTATATGTTATACTTTTCTTGAAAAAAAAAAAAGCTTTGTTTTTAAACTAGTGTCTCCTAGGTATCGTCAATGTTTCCTTCCATAGGACTTTTGGTCCTAATGACTCCTATGTCCAAGTATAATATGTGCAATTTTCTTTAACCATTTAAAAATACAATTAGAACAGCCATATAGAATGGGCAAGAAACTGCTCTTTTCTAGGCCCTACCACCTAGTACTAAAGCGAACCACTTCATCTCTCTGGGCCTTAGAACCTCTACCCCTAAAGCCGGATCATGTGTAAAGCTTACACTAGGTCTAACACACTTTAATTTTGGCACTTCATTTATCTTATATATTTACACTTCAGTAATAAGAAATAGGAAAGTTGTAAGTAGTTTTCTTTTCACTCTCTTAATTTTTGAATCTATTGTTGCATTATTTGTCTATTAACATTCCATAAATCTCAAAAGACTTACATAATAATCTGTAAAGGGATATACATGACCACAACTTGAGAGTAGCTAAAAATAATGCCAAATTTATAAGAGCAATTTATATAAAAAGTACTGTGAAAATCTGAGCTTTATGGATCCAGGTTTTTGGTTGAAAAGATCTTTTTTTATAAATTTATAATTTATTTCAGAATTAATGGCATTACAATAAAATTTATTTGAATACATTTTAATGATGTTTATGAAATTATAAATATTGTTGACAAAAATCTTTCCATATCAATGAAACATGACATAATAAAATTCTCTAAGAGGCAAAGCAACTAGATAGCTAAATAAGCCTCTAGAATTTGCACATAGACCTTACTTAGCTCGAGCCTGATTAATTTTTCCAGTGTTCAATAATTCCAAAAGCAGAAAATAAAAATTTACCTTTAAGAGTAGCTTTTCATGTTGTTTGTTATCAGAATCATATGGCCTTTTCCTCACGTTTTCTACATCCAAATAGAGTTGTTTATAACCAGTTATCTGTAGTAAGCATGTCTTCATGCAGATTTTAAAACTGAAAATGATACGATTATTTTTTAAGATCATACTTTTTTATCACAATAAAGTAATGCCCTCCATAACCTGTCATTCATGTGTCTATTTAAAAAGCATTTCCTGGCTTTCAGTTTAATACAGTAAGAATCAAAAGTCTTCTTAAACACCCAACATGTACAAAGTATTATGTAAGATATGATAAAACGGGACCTAGAAAGGGGGCAAGCTATGATAGCAACAACAAACTCTGCAGTCATGAGGATCTGAACCTTCCCTTCTCATATTTCCCGTGGGGAATCCCATACATCCCCAAATCTCTATTTCCAGATACCACAACAGACCTCATTTTTCAAGCATAACAAATAGCTCCATGACAGGTTATCTGCATTTTCCTAATGCAGCATATCTTCCCTGAAGAAACAGGGAATTGAGTTTCTAAATTTATTAATGACATCACTAAACATTAGTTCCCCAAACTAGAACACACCAAGCTCTGATCCACCTCTCTTCACCAACAATACACACATTAAAGGTTGGGGATGTTGCTCAGGGGTAGTGCTTGCCTAGTGTGCACCAGGTGCTGGGTCTGACTGCAAGTACCACATACACACACACACACACACACACACACACGCACAAATGCACACATCAAATGGTCCCCAAACCCTTATCCTACCTTTAAAATGTCCCTCAAAGTAATCCTCACATTACTAACTCCCCTGCTATACTTATGCCTTTGTCATTTCTTGCCCAAATGACTCATTTTCCTGTTTTGTGTTTATTCCTCTACTAGCCTCACACATCCCCAAATCTACCCTCCACCCTTCTTCAATATATCTCTGATAGTGGAGCTCGTGTGCTTAAAAAGCAGAGGCCCACATGTAAGGTACTGGCCTGGCATGCAAGATGTCGCAGTGCACCAACCCAGCACCCCACTGACCTCCTCGCATCAACAAGAGCGCATGGGTGGCTGGAGTGCAGTGGGTGAAAGCCAGACAGAGAGCTCTAGGCGAGGACAGAGTGATGCTCCTCAGACTAAAGGACCCAGGGAAGACTTTGCTAGAGGATGACATAAAAACTGAATCTTGAAGGGCAAGAAGGACACAGTACCCAGTTATTTAACCTTGGAAAAGTACTGGAAAACTACCCCAAAGAAGCCAGATGGTACAACGACAACTGGACTGGATTGGAAACCAAAAGACACAGGTTTTAGTCCGGCGGCTTTCATTTACTTTTCCAGACCTCAATAGCTCATTCAGTGAAGTGAGAGAGTTGAATTAGATTATGTCTACAAACTCTTCAGCTCTAAAGTTTTGAAACCATGTGATCTCTACACCTCACAAGCTGTGAACACATAATCCAAAAATAATAATAATAATGTGAAACCAACACACCTGGTATCTTTCTCAGGGTTAATATTCTTTTCCTTCATTATATCTTCTACACATTTGTCCACTTCACTCTCAACTACTTGTGTTGCTTTCTGTAAAATCTATTGACACGAAAGAAACCTGAATGAGAAAAATCTGATAGCTGAAAAAGAGGTATATTTCTGAGGGATTTAATCAATTCTACAAAGCAAATATTAAAATAAAAAAGGAAACCAAACGTATTTCAAATTTTGCCTGCGGCTAAAATCATATTGTTTTAGTAAAAGAAAAGCACCAATAGAGATTCAGAGTTATTTTCTTCCATCCATATGGATGGTTATTCCAGTACAATTTATTGAAAATTTTTCTTCATTGAATTAACACCTTCATTAAAAATTATACAACCCTCTTCTGTGTGGTTTATTTCTGCCATTTCATTTGTTCATTTTATTTCCCAAGAAAGTTTTTAAGCCTGGCAGTGTAAGTTTAATTCTTTCAGATTATTTGCACTATTCTAGGTTTGTTCCATTTCTGCATAAGCTTGACAACGAGCTTGTCAGTTTCTTTTAGTCTGCTGGGATTTTTATTAGAACTACATTGAATCCATGGGTCAATCTGAGAATTAACATCTTAATAATACTTAAGTCTTCCAATTTACAAAAACAGTGTATCTTTCCATTTCATTTTTTCTTAAAAATTCAATTTGGGAATTAACATCTTAATAATACTGAGTCTTCCAATGGATGAATGTATCTTTCCATTTTACTTTTTCTTAGAAAGGTTCTCCAACAGTTTGTGAAGAAATCTTATGTCTCTTTCATTGAGTATCTCCCTATTTATATTTCTAGATGCTAGTGAAAGTGGTATTGTCCTTTTACTATAATTGTCTAAAAGTCTGTTGCTATCATACAGAAGTATTGTGTCCTGTGACACTATTAAACATATTTATAACAATGCTAGTAGTTTATGTAGATTCTCTAAGATTTTCTATATTCTCAAACTATATCATTAATAAAGTTCTACTTCATTCTAATTATTATGACTTAGACTTCTTTTTCTTGTTTATTTCACTATCCAGTATCTCTATGACAATGTTGAATAAAAGGAGAGAGCTAACACACTTGTTGTGTTCGCAATTAAATGTAGGCAACATTTCATATCTCGGTGTTTTCTATCACATTAGCTGTAGGTTTTTCATAGGAAGCCCCTTCCATAGGTAGTCAAGGGCTGCCTATAAAAACTAAAGAGTTTTAAAATCATAAATGGATACTGAAGTCTATCAAAATAATTTTTCAGTACGTACTGAAATTATATTTTTTCTGATTTACTCATACTGTGACAAATTATATTCATTGATTTTGAAAATCCCTTTTTGTATTACTCCTTTTGTGTATTTCTACAATCAACCTGTTTGTTAATGTTGCACTAAGGACTTCTGCACCTATACACATGATAGATAATGAATTCTAAGTTTCATGCATTATACTGTCCTTGTCTGGCTTCAGTATCAAGGTTATACTGGTTGTGTAAAATGTGTTTTGTTTCTTTCCACTGTCATTTCCTAGGAGTTTATGTAATAGTGGTATTATTTTTCCTTCCTTGTAAGAAGGTATTATTTTTCCTTCCTTTCCTTGTTTGATAAGAATTAACCAGTGAAGCTAAGATTAGAGATTTCAGCAAAAAATTTGTTATGGATTTTTATTAGGTATACAGCTAGATTTTTAATTTTTGCGTTAGTCTGATAAATTGTGTTTTTCAAGGATCTTGCCTATTTCATTTAAGCTTTAGAATTTATTTATTTATTTGTTTATTTTTTGGTACCAGAGATCGAACTTGGGACCTTGCGCTTGCAAGGCAGGCGCTGGAACCACTGAGCTAAATCCCCGGCCCTAAGCTTTAGAATTTATTGACATAAAGTTGTCCATACTTTTAATGACTCTTTGCTATTATGATGCTCCTTCTATCATTCTTGACATCGGCAATCTGAAGTTTTTCTTATTTAATCAGTGCCGCTAAAGGGTTATTAACATTACTAATCGTTTTAAAGAATCAACTGTTGGGATTGTTGACAATCTGTAAATTTTGCCCATTTATATTTCATCAATTTTTTTTTTACTTTATTTTTACTATATCCCTTCTTTTACTTACTTTGGGCTAATTTCTTTTCACAGTTTCACATACTGATGAAGTCACTGATTTCAGGCCTTTAAAAACTGGCATGGTGAAATACACGAAATTTGATATGTTATGTTTTCATCATCAGTCAGCTCAATTTTCTTTTTGTATTACCCTGTGAATTCTTTTTTGACCCATGAGTTATTTAGACATTTTCCAGCTATTTGGTGGTTTATTTTTTTAGTAGACCTTGATATACAATTGATAGGCAGTCCCTAATCCAAAAACAAGTACATGAGACTTAATTTTTAGCAACCAAGAAAGAATTTCCACTGTAGAACAGTTCACAACTGACCAAGTCCATTTTGTGATCACTTATTCAGGGAATCAGCCTTTTCGAGTAAAATCAACTTTTATTCACAAGCAATCATCCATAATGCCTAATCATCTAATAGGTTTTTATAAATGCTTTAAACTTCTAAAATTCTTATAGTATATATCAGCTTAACTGCACTACCAGTAATATTATTAATATTAGGTATTCTTTTAGACTGCTTTCATATCAATGTCTTTAATTCTAAAACAATCATGTGGGTATTAATACCTTTCATGGTGAGAAAACGAGTAACTTGCACAAAGTCAAACAAGTGATTAAAATTAATGATTAAACTCAATAAAATGTAGGCTTGGGCAACAGAAATGTCACAAGATCAGAATGAGATTTTCCCTAAAAAGTAAATGGAATATACAAATGAGATCTAAGATACACAAAAGCTGTGTTTAAATTGATAGTTTCCTATATGTATTGACAAGTTTGCCTGAGATTTAAAACTTCAGAAAAAGTATCTGTGATTTAATTCAGTCATTACCCACTTGTTGATCATTCTCTTTGTAGTACAACCTACAAAACACTATTAGCAATTTATATTTTTAATGAAAAATCCTAAGAATTTTAATGTTTACTCTTGCATAAATTAGTAACTCATAATATCATACAATAGTAGCAAGTCAAATTTGTTACCTCAATTAGCTCTTTGCATTATTATCAAATACAAACATATAGACATCAAAAATATACAGATGCACACATACACATAATTAAGAATTTCATAAAGCAATATTTAATCTCAATAACCAATAATTTCTAAATATTTTCTATTCTACTGCTTTTGTTGTTGTTTAATGCTAATTGTGGTCTACTAATGGATTTCAAACAATGATCGAGACCACCCACACTCTCTTTGTCACATCAAATAATCCACATATATAGAAAAAATTGTGAACTAATACAGGAAACAAACAGCATGTGGTAGACTCAATTTCTGGTCCCAGTTTTTCACTGCCCTGTATGTCAATTATATAGCCACCTACCTCCATCATGGCCTTATTGTGGGGCATAATATGTATTTCTCTATCTCTGGAAATGGGCTTGGCCACTTATTTTAACCAAGACGATGCTAATGGATATGACACAAGAGACTTAAAATATGGCTGTATGTATGGGCCTCTAGCAATCTCCTATGAGATCATTCCTTGGGTACCCACTATATCCCCCACCTGGGTAATATAATAAAGACAAATTAATAGTTCTGAACTTGGCACCAGCTTAAAGAGCCTCTCCAGCTGACCCAGAGAACATGAGCAAGAAATAACATATTGGTTTTTGCTCCTGAGATTTTTGTAATAGTTTGTTACACAGCAAAAGCTAACAACTACATAACATGAGGTAGGACTTTTTAAGGCTATCCCGAAAAGTACAGGATGCAGGGTTTTCTTTATCCAAAGTTGCTTCCTCTTCTCTCACATAACCAGTCCTACAGACAGTCTTAGAGAATACTTTCTCCCTAAGACCTTGCTTTCTCCAAAGCTATCAACTCTTTTTTTTTTTTTGGTACCGGGGATCAAACTCGGGACCTCACACTTGCTTGTGGCAGGCGCCAGAACCACTGAGCTAAATCCCCAGCTCACTATCAGCTCTTAAGACAAAAAATAAATGGGTAAAACCTCAGAACAGGACGAATTATTCAAGGAGCTTCACTATGCATGAAAAACATACACATGGACAGAGAAAACATTTCGAAAACAATTATTACTTCTAAGGAGAGAGAATTCATTTAATGTTCTTTATAGCAAAGACACTAGCAGGATACTAGAAATAATTCTAAAACTTAAGCATTATTTTAAAGAAAAAATATGCTCAAGTTTTCTAGAATTATTACCTTAGTATGATCTTACCTTATTTTTGGAGTATGTCAAAGAATTTTCTGAAATTAAAAAAAAAAAATTTACCACTAAACGCTATTTGTGATTTACTCCATGAACAAATAACAAAAATATCAAACCACTAACAAATTACTTTCACAGTTTGAAAAGATATCATTTCTACATGAATAACATAACAAACATTTTAAGGTTTTATTCTTACAGTATAGAGAAGTAGGGACCTCTCAGAAAACCTCAACCAAACACAACATAGCAAGGCAGAAGGGGACACCAACCTTATTTCTCCACGATCTTTTGTTTCTATGTAGATCCCTAAACTGTCTACAACTAAGTCAGGTCCCAGAAACCCATCTGAACACTACAGTGAGAATGCGCTCCACTACATTTTCTTACTTTGTTGGCCTTAAGGAGTCAATGTTTAGAGGTGCTAACAAGCTGAATCCTACAAGAACAAAGAGGCAAACATTTTTCTGGCCAACCACCCTCTAATCTGACAAAGAATAAAACAGCTCCTCCATTTCTGGCTTGTTTCAAGAATGACAAGAAAATTTTTACTGGTCTATTAAAAAATTCAATGGCACACAACTGTAATCCAGCTACTCAGAAAGCCAAGGCAGGAGGATTCCAAGTGCAAAGGATTCCAAGTTCAAGGCCAGCCCGAGCAACTTAGTGAGTTGCAGTCTCTAAATAAAAGGTATTTTTTAAAGGGCTAGGAATGTGGCTCAGTGGTGAAGTGCTTGCCCTAGGCTTTTTGTTTGTTTGTTTGTTTTTAAGGTGGCATATTTACTAATAATCTTTATCTCTGCAACTTGAAAAATCAAAAAATATTTATTTTGTTACAAAATAAAACAAAGCCTTTTAATATATGTTCCCCCACACTATGAAAAACCAACCAATACTGCCTGCACAGATTTCTTATCAAAGAGGGACTTTGTTCTTCTAAAAGCAAATAAAAAGACTGGGCAGTAGTTGAAGTCAGTCAGCAGAGGTGAGAAAACTGACAAAGTAATAAAGCTTCAATCATCCAGCTGCCCTAAGGCACTTTCTGCCCTTCTTCCCTGTGGTCTCGGTGCACCCCGTCCCCTGACTTCATGGGGGTGATTCTCATTTGAACCACACTTGATCTACACAAAAGGAGATCGGGTTAATTCATGATTTTTCCACTTAATACAGTGCTCATGAGTAGCAGTTCTCAAGTCTTGCTGCCCTGGCTAAAAACTGACTTCAAACCACATTTCTCACTCATTTGTGTTCTCATTTAGTGTAATACTTTCAATAAAATCTTGAAAAACTGCCATATTTCAGAAGATAACAGAGCAGCGCTGGCCAACAGAAATATAATGCAAGCGAAAATGTGAATCACAGTAGTACTGTAAAATTTTCTATAGCCACATTAGAGTGAAAGGAAACAAGTAAAATTATTTTAATTCAACAGATCCAAAATAATCACTTCCACATATAATGAATATAAACAATGAAGAAATGTTTACTGTCTTTGAAATCTAGCGCATACTTGATACTTATGACACATCTCAAATCAAACAGGCCACATTTCAAGCACTTACAATCCATACATGGCTGTGGTCGGCTAATCTTTCCTAGGGACCACTGAACACCTAATCACTGTCCTTTCAGACATAGGAGTGAGAATTTAAAAAACTGATGAATAATGCCAAGTATAAAAATGGATCTAGCCTGAAGCACCTCACTCTTCCCATTTTTGTAAAAAGGGATTATAGAAGGATAGAAAGTTTTCTCTAGAAAACAGGTTGGGATCAATGGAACTGACAAATTTAGGGAGCCAGATAAGATCAAATCTCTGTACAAATACAAACTTAGAATTGGTTTCTTTTTCTATAAAGTAATAAAATTTTAGAACTGAAAGGATTCGAAGAGAAATTACAAAGCTAACAAAACCCAGTGTGACTTGACCAGAATACACAGTACATTGTCACTATTTCTATTCAAAGTTAAATTTTTATCAGTTTTCTTGCACTTGGGAGGCTGAGGCAGGAGGATTGCCAGGAGTTCGAGGCCAGCCTGAACTACATAGTGAGACCTGTCTCAAAATAAAATAAAATAAAATAAAGTAACATTACCTATCCTGTGTGTCCTTTGTGCACCTATATAGGTATCAAAAATTCGTTGTAATTCACACTTGCCAGTCATCTGTCGTAAAAGCCATTTCATCCAAAATCGAAAAAAGTGCCCATAGAAGAACTCCCACAAAGAAAGAATCATTTTTTTTCCTGGGGAAGGAAATATATAATACAAGCTTAATGACCTTAAGTTGAATTTAAAACTGAAAAAAAAATTACAATTTATCCAACTCACCAAATCTCAAATTATTTTTAGTGTCTATTAACCCACTGTGTTTTGGGTTAGTTTCATTAGGCGTCTAAGAAAACAATGACAGGTGTAATATACACACGATGATTAATTAAATGATGGATTAAATGTCAATGTAGCACTTTTTAAAAACTGTAAAAATGAGAACTCCTGTCAAGCTATTTAATGGCTTAAAAGAATGATAGTATGATGATCTGCATTTTGAACCAACTGTACAACATTTCAAAGCTTCCTGTTGTGATTTCTCAATCTGAGAACTAAGACTGAACATCCCAACTAAGCAACAATTAAAATATACTAAACATCTGAACCGTTTTGATAAGAAATAAGCTCTTAACCCTCGTGGATAATTTGTTTCAACTGTCCCGTTACCAGCTGAGGCCAGCAAACAAAAACACTACACACTGCTTACAAACTGAAGCAACCAAGTTGAAAATAGAGTAAATCACTCCCTAATTCTTCATTTTCTATTCAATTAAATGAAGTGCGGAAATACTAGTAAGTTTTTTAAAAATCCAAACAAAAACCTACAAGTTTAATAGCAGTGGATGTTATAATAAACTTCGGCTTGTAAATGAAAGGGGGGTACACTTGAGGGGGAGACACTTTAACAAAAATGCTCATCTCTGGGCATCCTTAAATATTCCCACAGACCCGTCCTCTCCGGACTTGGGCCTGAGGGTGTGCAAACTGGAAATCGCCGCAGGTCAGGGCAGAGTCTGCGTTTCACCGACGAGCTGAGCGGTATCTAAAACGAATTCTTCTAGTCCGCGCTCCCCCGGACAAAAGACGCGGAGCTAACCAGCGGAGGGACGCCGGCCTCGGCCTCGCGGGCCGCAGCTCCCCAGCCCTCGGAGTCGCCGCGCCGGGGCCTTTGGGGCCGCCGACCCCAGCCCGCGCGCTGCCGGGCGGAGGGAGCGGCGCTCACAAAGCCCCGCCGGCCGGGCGCCCGCCGCGCTCCCGCAGGACGCCGTGGGGCTCGCGCAAACCCGCGCACTCTCGGCGCAGCCGCACGGAAACAGCGCAGGGTGAGAAAAAAGAAACAGCGGCCACCTCACAGGAGCGGAAGAACTAGGGGGAGCTGGAGCTGCCTCGGTTTCCCCAACTGCAAACAGCCGGCAACGGAAGCGACGCTATTCGCAGACCGTTCCCTGCAAACACCGCGACCCGGAAGTGCGGGAGGCTCGCGGCACCGCCTTCCCCGCTCCGCGCGCCCCGCCCTCAGAACCCCTTCCGATTGGCCGGCGCTCCACCTATTGCCCACGCTAAAGGCGGGGCCAGCGCAGAGGCCGCGCACATCATGCTTCTGCTCTAGGGACGCCTGGACGGTTTCCCTGGCAACGGAGACATGCCCAGCGCCACTCTACTCTCTCCCAGCGCTGTCGCGGAGGCTGCTCTTTTCCACAATAAATATTGAAATCGTTACTATACTATTGCTAGGCAGCCAGCACAGACGCAACGGCTCGTGGCTTTGGTAACTCATAGTGGCAAGGTTACAAAGGCACTCTCACCTACATGAAATCTTACTTGTGTGAAGTAATCGCGAATTGCCTCATTTTTTGGACGACGATGACGAAAAGGAACTCAAATCACTTGACTTGCCCATGGCCAATACGTGACAAATAAGGAGAGCTCTATATCTTGTGAGAACTTTGGACTTTTTCCTATAGTAGTAAACATTTCCAATTAATTCACCCAACATTCATTCCTTAACGGTTATTTCTATTGAAAAAGTAAAAAGAGGAGTAATGAAAAGAGAAGAAAAAAGTAAACATTTATGGGTTGTCTATAATGCATCGGGCAGTGTTCCAAAAGGGATTCAAACGGCAAACTCACAGGCAAATATTTAGTACGTCAGGTATTAAGGACGTTAGGGGCAATTAGGTAAGGGATATTGGGGAGTGTGTGTGGGGAGTCATTATATACAGTGCTCTCAGCAAAGTCTCTGTAGTAATGTGACATTTGAGCCTTATTGGATGAAGTAAGGGAGGGGCCGGCCGTGAGAGAATCCAGAGGAAGTGTATTCCAGGCTCTAGAGTGGCACATTCACAGGCTTTGAATTGAGCATATCCAAAATAGTTGAGGGACAGCAAGAAGGCTAGTGTGGTTGGAGAAGAATGGAAGGGAGAAAGGAGGAGACTTCTCCCTGATTGGAGTCAATCTCTGTACCATTTCAAAGAGCTCCTCCCTCCCTATAAAAACTGCACATAGGCGATGAACCCTGGCTTCTTCCAGGCTGTCAGCTCTTCCCCCGGCCCACTCCCACCCTGAGGAGTGTATCTTTGCTAATAAATATATGCTTTCACTTCTACATCTGTGTGTTCTGCTCAGTTGTTTGGCATACCAAGAACCTAGCATAGCCACAATCCCAGCACCTCAATGTCTAGTGTTCCACAGTGGGTATCTATTTTTAAAATGCTGGTTGAAATGTGGAAAAGTGTGTACTACTTGCTTCGATTTGTGGCAACAAGGAGGTGCAGGGAATACTCCTATAGGCACTCACATAAAATGTATCTGGAAGTCTAAATAAGAGATTGCTCCTGAGCAAGGGCACTGAGGAACCAGGAGTCTCGGGTTGGGTGAATGCGGAGTTATTTGGAATGTAAGTTGTCTTTTGTATTTATCATCAATTCTCTCCCTTGCTTTCTTCTCTAACCACACTAGCCTTCAAGTGACTTGACTTCCCCATGGCCAGTACATGACAACATGACAAAGAGAGCTCTATATCTTGTGAGAACTTTGGACTTTTTTTCCTATAATAAGAAGCTGTTTGAGGAGGAATTAAATATATATATATATATAGCCTTTCCCCAGTCTCCCCAACTCACTGATTCCCTCTTGGAAAGAGACACTTAGAAAAGCTTGAGAGCTGTAATGGCAAATACAACAAACCAAATGGTTGATTAATCCAGCTAAATCTCAGAACCTCCCCCTATCAGTGAAATATGTAAAAATGACTCTGGGCCACCAGAGCTATTCTATAAACAATAAATATATTATTCTCACTCCAGGTCTCTGCTAATAAAAAAGCAGACACAATAACTTGAGAGGCTATTTGGCAAGCTATTGAAAACATATAATGGTTAGTGGCCCAAACGTGTTAATGAAATCCTAGGATTTCCGAACATTTACAGGACTTCAGAAGTTTTTGACACTAGCGTGCGTGCACATTAGACTTTGAAATATAATACTGCCACCTTGTGGCAACTATTAGGAATTTTGTATTTTAAAAATTTTTCCTGACGGACTAGAAGTACTTGTTAGCCAGCATGCTATTAAGCTCTCATAAAAACAATTCACATGAAAATGGAAACTTTCTACACTGTTTGGGAGGAATGTGAATTAGTAGAGTCACTATGAAGATAAATATGGAGGTTCCTAAAGAAACTAAAAATAGAAATAGCTCATGATCCACCAATACCACTCCTTGGCATGTGTACTCAAAGGATTTAAAGTGATATCCAAATTCCATGTTTATTGTGGCACAATTCACAATAGCCAAGTTAAGGAATCAACTTGGGTGACCATCATGAGATGAGTGGATAAACAAAATGGAATGCATATGCACAATGGAATAATACTCAGCCGAAGAGAAGCAAATCATGTCATTTGTAAGAAAATGGGCAGAAATGACATCATCATGTTAAGTGAGATAAACCAGATTCAAAAAAACAAGTATCAGATGTTTTCTATCATATGAAGTATCTGCAAAAATATATATATAGTATGAAAGCAGAAAGAAGACTTAGAAAATATAAGAAGGGGAACAGAAAAGAAGTGGAGGACAAGTGAGGGCAAAAAGCAGAATGAATGTGATCAAAATATATCATACATGTAGGAAAGTGCTACAATGGGACCCCTTATTCTGTATAATTAATGTGAGCTAATAGAAAAGAAATACCACACTGAATCTCACTATATATACACAAGTAGTATTGTTAATAAAAATAAAAACCAATCACCATAACTTAAGAGCTTCAAATCATATTAAGATCTGAACTACCTATCATGACATTGGTGATATCAGAGAGAAGTTGTGATAAAGCTGTACGACAAAATTCTCAAAAAATGTCATGTCCTGTGGGGAGTTATGACACAAACCTGAGCAGAAAGTGTCTCTGCTATAAGGCCAACTAATTACCCCACATCTGTAGCAGAATGGTCTAAATTTCAAGAGTCTCCACCAAAATAGAACATGTTTATTGGTTTATCCATGAAAGCTTCTATATAGCAGGATCACCAGAGTAAAAGTCTGCTACTGTTTGCCAAACTGGAAAGTATAAACAAATAGTGCAAAAGCAAGTTCATGCCACGGGCTGATTTGAGAGCTGTGTAAATGACAGTGGAAGGAGAACTTCGTTTGTTGCTTGGCATATAGAGTCCCAGGAAATAGCCAATGGTCAGGAATAGGAGAATACTAATGTATATATAATGAGTTAACATTATGGAAGCACAAGTGCTAGAGGTGCAGTTGAGGCAGGCCCCGTGGGATTTCCAAGGTTGGATAATAGGAGGTCACACAGGTGGCCACAATAAGAATCGAACTGTTTCAAAAGTTGCAAGGTATGGTGGTACATGTCTGTAATCCCAACACTCAGAAGCTGAAGGAATCTGAGGCCAGCCTGGGCTACATAGTGAGTTCAAGGCCAGGCTAGAATACATACTGAGACCCTGTTTCAAAAAAAAAAAAAAAGAAAGAAAAGAAAGCAAGCAAGCAAGCAAGCAAGAAAGAAATTGTTTCAAAGGTGATTAAAATGAGTTGATGGCCTGGCAACCCTCTGGAAGTAGCTACCTGGATAGCTACTTTTGAGTAGGCACAGTAGTGCCAAAATCATGCAATAATGGGTGGAATAATGATATATTCCACTTGCCTCTGACCTAAGCCATGGATGTTGGAAGAGACTGTTGAATGCTAACCAAAAAATGTAGCCCAATAAAGATGGCATTTGGGAACATCTGGCTACAGAAGTCTAAGCATCAGAGCCATTGAATACAGTATGTAGGGTTACTATTTGTAGCTCCCCAAGATTCAAATTTTGATGCATTTCATCTGGAGCTAAAGCCAACGCTACAGACACAGCCAAAGGCTTAGAACAATGCCTTATGTAACAATTTGGTTCCTTTCATATATCTCCCTGGACCAAAGAATGTACTCTATGTGGCCAGTATGCAGAACTCTACTCCCCTCTCTGCCAAAAAATTCCCATTATATGGAAATATTATATTCTACCTGTGAGATGGTTAGAACACGTAATTGAAAATACAGAGTATAAAGATATGAAGGGTTGCTTGGCTCAATTAGGTGAATGCATGATTTGTGCAGATATGAGTACTGGCAAAGGGGGAGCAGTTTAAAAAGGCTCAGGTGCTGGTGGTGGGAATAAAGTGTGTGTGGGTGTTTTGATAGAACTCTCTCTTTCCCACCATATAAGCTTCTATTTAAACCCTTCTCAGGTAAAGGAAGTGAAGAGGGAATGAGTTTCCTGTATTACATATCTGTTATTTATTACTGCCAAACAAACCGTCACATATTTTGTGACTTAAAACAACAATCCGCTGTTTCTTAGGATCCTGTGGGTTTCTGGGTCTAGCTGGGCAGTCCTGCCACTGGTCACACCAGGGTTCTCCCCACGCGTGCATTCAGATGGGACGCGGCTGGGGCTGTAATGTCCAGGATGTCATCATGGGAGTCGCTGATGACTCCATTGCTTAGCTTATGCTTTCTACAGTCTGCAAGGAGTTGCTGCCATAGAAGAACCTTAAGGGTCCCTTTCAGACCTGTCGTGTTTCTGAGTTGTGCTGAAGAGATGGCCTTTGCCCCAGGTACCGATAACTCCATTCTGAGCAACTTGAAACAGAAAACGGGCTCGGATAGCTGGCATTTTATCCACAGTCGTTATCTTTCAGATTGTTTTCGCCCGTGGGATCCTACATGTGTATCAGACCAGTAAAATGTGTCCCCACTAAATTTACTCTTCTGTGCTAATAACTGTCACTAGACCACCATTTAGACTGAGGTTCAGTAAAGAAGCCCGGATGGGTGTTTCAAATGCCCAGAAGCTCCCCAGAGAATGCTCTTTCCATTCCTAGCATTGTAGCAAATACCTGTCTTTAGCCTGACAGCTCCCTACTTTCCTGGTTTTTGTTTCTGCTGCTGTTGTTGTTGCTTTTGTTTGGTTGTTTTTGGGATCAGGATATCACCATGTAGTCCAGGTTGGACTTGAACTTGCTATATAGCATAGGCTGGCTTCAAATTCAAAATCATCCTGTTTCAGCCTCTGAAACAGGTGCTGCACTTACAAGCATGCACTACTCTAGCATGCAGATATATGTCTTTTTTAAAAAATACAAAAAAAATTCTGCACTTCTTCAAGAATGCTACCACATTCTCTGCCTACTGGATTTCCTGAAATAAAATTCATGGCTGTTGTCACCAGCACCAGGTAGTAACTGTAGGTGGTCAGCTGTGGATACACCTCAGTGGTACCACAGGTCTGTATTGTAGTAAATGCCTTTGAGCTATGAAACACCTTGAAAGGTGCAGGGGGGATTATAACATGAAAATAACATGTTCTCTCCCTTCTAAGGGCCTACAGCATGGCGGGGGAAGTAAAATCTTTTGGTGACAATTGCATATGAGGCAAACTTAGCGCCTGGAGGGAAATCTGAGGGATTGCTTTGTAGATGAGTGGTCAGTGAAGACTTCATGGAGGAAGTGGCATTTCAGCCAAGGCCTGACCACTTTCCACAGGTAGGGATGTTAAGTGTTCAGAGGGTGCAGTCCCTGCATAAGCATAAGAAATAAGCTGAAGCCAAGAGCCAATGGGAAACCAATCAAAGGAGGAAATATTGTTAGATTTAAATGATGATTGAAAAACACATTCTGATGTTAAAAACTTTAAAATGTGAGAACAAAGTGCTTTTCTGACCTTGACAACATGGACTTTGACAAATTTGAGTGGGTATAACTTTTGAATATGACAGCTGGGAAAGGTGGAATGGAAGCAGATTATGTAAGAGCCAGGATTCTGGGCTACAACTTTTTTTTTTGAGACAAGATCTCACTATGTAGTTCAGACTGGCCTTGAACTCACTATGTAACTCAGGCTGGCCTCAAACTTGCAGCAATCCTCCTGCCTCAGCCTCCCAAGTGCTGGGATGAAGGTTGTATGCCACCACACCCAGCAGCACTTTTGATTTTTTTTTTTGGTATTACTGGAGATTGAACTCAAGACCTTGTACTTGGCAGGCAGGTGCAGCGCCACTGAGCTACATCCCAGGCAGGACTTTTCGTTTTTGTTTTTGGTACCAGGATCAAACTCAGAACATGGTGCCTACGAGGCAGGCATGGTGCCACTGAGCTACATCCTCGCCCCAGCACTTTTGATTTTTAACAGAGAATCACTGAAGGATTTTTGGGTAGGTAGTTGTCTATTTCAAAAGTAATAATTAGAATCAGTGATAAACTTGTCAGTGCTTTGGTTGAGTAAAACAGAAAGAGAAAAAAGACCTAAATGTCCTGCTTGCTTAGATTAGGACAGGATGCATGCTAAGTTATTTTGAGTGTTATTTTATTGAATCTCAGCAACCTTGGATAAGTAGCACTTATCTGTCTTAGTGATGAGGAGCTCAAGCTTGGAGAGGATTAGAAACCTCTCCTAAATAAATCAGACACGCAAGGTTAAATACCACATGGTTTCTCTTCTATGAGAAACTCAAAGTATAAATAAAGAGCAAAATAAAAGTTAGATAATGGAAAGTAGGGAAATAGATCAAGAGAAGGAGGGAAGAGGGAAGGAAAAGGAGCTGAAAAAAGGAATTGAGATGTGTTGTGTACATGTACGAATGTGTACTAAAAAACTTTCCTAACATGATTGTTAGTGAATAGTGACATTGCCTGCTTTCAAACACAGCATAAAAATAACTACATATGCACTTAATATGGATATTCATTTTTCTTTCTAAGTATACTTTGTTCATTCTTAATTATGTGCATTTATTAACTCCACAAATGAATAGTTAACTTGCTTAGGAGAATATGAGGTAAATTTTCTCCTTTTTCTGTTTTTTTTTGGGGGGGGGCGCTAGGGATTGAAGCAAGGGAATGGAATATGCTAGGCCTCCACTCTTATCACTGAGCTACACCTCAGACCAAATGTTTCGAAAAATATACTTTTGGTTTGGGTGAAGGTGATGTGGTAGAGATGGAAAGCTGACCCCCGAAGGCTTGTAATCTCCTCCCATGCTCTAGGAGTTTGAGGGGAAGCAGCTGCCCAGCCAAGGACCACATTTTTCTGTTCTTTTGTATTGTTTCCTATAGATTTTATGCCTGATTAAATTATATCTGTTCTATTTCTTCTAATGCTTCCTCTCCATCCTCCAGCAGAGGGAGACACTTCCAAAACCCTGTAGGCTCGGGAACTCACAGGACAAAAAGGCCCGGGACTCTGAATGATCAAGTGGAAAGCCGCCAATCAACTGGAAGCTGTGGTATTAGACATTAGTTAGGGAAGAAAAAAACCTCTATTATATTAAACTATGGAGGTGTGGGAGCTGGTATTTCAATCAGTTGCTAATGCATTTAAAGTTATAAAGCAAAGAAGTAGTGTAATTGGTAAAATATGTTTATTTGCATTTGTGAATTGGATTAAACAGCTTTAAAGCTTTGACTTGAAATGCTATGTAGTTTATAGTAAAATGTCAAGGTGTACAGAAATGTTTAAAAAGCAGTACACTTCCCTTCTCACTCTCTGGGCCTAAAAGAATTGAGGCAGCCACAGGTACATTCAAGGAGCACCACGTAAAGTCTCTGCTCACACAGGAACCCAGCGGACAGATGGCCATCTGCTGTTGGGTGAGGTCTGGACTGCAGGGGGCCGATGCCACATTGAGACCAGCTTGAATGTCACAGTAATAATTCGGGGGTAGTCATAACAACGGAAATGCCAGTCTGGAAGCAAAGCGTTTCAGAGAAGGCCTGTACAGACTGTATAAATGACAGCCTGTAATGAGAGTCAAATGGATCTGGAATCATTGATCTTCGCTTGGAGGAGAAGTTCGGACATCTTGAATTCGAATGGGCTATCCAAGCAGAAGTCATGAGGAGACAGCTAAAAATGTGAAACTAGAGCTCCAGGGACAGAACAGGAAAACCTTGCTTGCGCCAAGGTCTGCCCGGACAGCCGCCTTCTCCCACCATCTGCTCTAGCTTTTCTCCGCCGTGGTACCCCAGTGGGAGGCCGGTCTGCCCGAGCTAATAGTCCAAGCTGCACTTCTGGCCCCCAGGAGAGCTGGCAAGAAACTGCAGGATGAAGGAGCGGAGAGCTGAAGTATTTCTCTCTCTGAAATTGAAGTATTTCTCGCTCTCGGGCCCCTCTTGAGGTTCAGCTGTGTCCCTACTCAGCGGAAGGTCCCACTCCTGGCCATTACCATCCAGGATTCCGATGGCTTTTTTCAAGAGGACCTGTGTTCAGATCCCTCCCACGGGACCAGAAAACTAGCCTGGCCAGAGGGTGCAGTGCTGCTGTGAAGCAGATCATTTAAAACCAGAGACCGCCTGCGAGCCCCGAATAAGGCACCCAGAGTGCAGAGCCCGGCTGATGTTCTCCCAGCGCTTCCGGCTGGAGAACAGCCCGACCCACCGTGGGAACGCGAACCTAGCCGGCTCGGCCACCGCGAGCGCCCAGCGGCCTCGCCACGGTCTCCGCGTCCGCGGAACCGCAGGGCCGGAAGCCACGCGCAGAGCTCCGCGCGCAGGAACCATTAGGGCGGCGCGCTGGGGACCGCGGCGACCCGCGACCCTGCCCGCGCGCTCGCCCCGCGCGCTCGCCCCGCGTCGCCGTCGCCTCCCCGCAGGCGCCATGCGGGTCGAGCCCTGGAACTTGCTGCTGGCCTCTCCTCTCTGCTCTTCAGCTTCTCTTGGTTCTGCCTCTCCAGGATGGCCGAGATAAGTAAGCGGCGACCGCTCGACCCCCTCCCCGCGCCCGGAGTGGGAGGCCGGCGTGGGCAGCCGGTCTCAGTCGCGCGCCCGCGTTTGGGGCCCCCGCGTGGTGATAACGCGCCCACACCCCGGCCCGCAGTGAGTTCCGCGGTGACGGGCGCCCGGGTCCGGTCCGGTCCTGTCCGGTCCGCTTCGGGGCGGCGGCGACCCTGGGGCGCGCGCTCAGGGATGAGGTGGGGGTCCCAGCCCGGCCTCCCCACCCCGGCTGCGGGGCCCGCTGCCCGCTCCCGTTTCATTCTTCTCGGTCATTTCCACAAACGCGTGAATGCCTGGCTTCAAGGGCTCCTCTCGCAGCCCGCCTCTTTCCCCTCGCTTGGTGCGGGTTACTTCGGGCCGTCTCCAAGGCGCCCTGGAGTACGTCTGCCAAGCCGAAGGAGGCAGGATGGTGGAGAGACACGGAACTGGCCGGATTTAGGGCCCTGGTCCACACCTGGACCTTCTTCTCAGATGAACCATGAGCCTTGTGTGACCGACCACTTGGAATACACCAGCATTTAATTTTGTCGTCGACCGGAGTGTCAATCTGGCGAACAAAAATTAAAGTTGCCTGGTTAAATCTGAATTTCAGATAAACAGTGATATTTTCCATACAAAAGGTTGCATGGGGCATAATTGTTCTAAAACTGTATTTCTTGTTTATCTGAAACTCAGATCTAACTAGGTGTCTTATTTAGCTTTCAACTCTAGTTGTCCACGTTTAGTTGTGACGTTTAGAGTTCATATACTTGAGCTTTTTAAGATTTAGGACCACTGGGAATTTTTAATCCCAGTTACTTCAGGTTAAATTTTCATTTCTTCTACTGAACACATTTATGACATAGGTATAAGCCAGGTAATCTCAGCAGTAGTGTTGAGGGTGGAGTTTGGAAGTGGCTTCATATTTAGTCCTGTAGTGAATACTACATTTTGTCATCGTGTATACAAAAAGCACAATTCTCTTTCTTTGAAATACTAGAAAGTGCATTATAAGACTTCTACTCTTTCATTTTATATCCTTTCCCCTTCTTCATTTTCCCTAAAGAAGACTATTAAAATGTGTTTTTGTTTACCTTAGAACAAACAGTGAGCATATTTATAATAACAATAAATGGTTTCTTGTAAACAGAAAAGAAGTAATTTTTGGAAGACAATGTATAATGGTAGTCTTAGAGGATATTTTAATATAGTTATTATTCTTAGCTATAAGGACTGAGAGTCATACAAACATTTTGATGTTTTTTCTAGTTATAACCAGAAAGAAGTTTACTTCCTCAAAGGATTTAGATTTCCATCATTCATAGATACAAGTTCTGAAAATGATATATTAGTTCTGAGAATGAAACACTCTTAAAATAGCAAATAAGTCAGAATTTTCATTTTCTTTAAGTTCATCATATTAATAATTCATTAATTTTTCAACAAATATTTAAACTGTGAAGACAGGGTTTTTTTGTTGTTTTCTCTCTCTCTTTTTTCTTTTTGGTACTGGGGATCGAACTCAGGACCTTGCGCTTGTGAGGCAGACGACAGAACCACTGAGCTAAATCCCCAGCCCTGTATTCTCTCTTTTTGACTGTTCTGGTTACTGCGTTGTCCCTAGCATCTGGAAAATTGTGCGACATCTAATAGGCGAGTTAAATGTCTGTTGAAAAAATAAGTGATCAAGTGCATGACAGAATGACTAAATTTACTGAGTGCCTGTTCACATTGCAGGCACTAAGTTAACAGCACCATCCCATTCCTGGATCATACCTTATGGCTGGGGAGATACACATACATGACATATGATTATGGTCTGATGTCAGATGTAGGCAGGGAAAGGAAAGAAAGTACTGAAGTTATACCTTAGTGCTTAGCTGCTTTGAAACTCATCAAACTTGGTACTCAGTGCATTTTGACTCGATAATTTTGTCCCAGGATTTGTTGCTTGTTTGATACTCTAGGCACAAGAAAGAATTTATTGGTGTCAACTGCCTTGTGACAAAACAATTTATTTGGTACTCACTGGTTTTTACTCTTTGGTCTTCCTAGAACCAATGTGTTTTGATATGATTGTCAGAGAAGGACTCTCTGTGGAAGTTATATTTGAACATTTTTTCTGGATGAAATGAGGAAGCATTATGTGTGGATATTTGGGGAGAAAGTCTTCCAGACAAAGGGAAAATCATGTGCAAAGGCCCTAAGATAGTTTGAATTGTTAGTTTGGAGGCCATAGTAAGACTTGAGTTATACACTGAATAAGAAGGCATCGAAAGGTTTTGTGCAAATGAGTGGCATGATCTTACACATATATTTAAATGATTGTTGGATTTGGGCTATGAAAGAAAGAAAAGAATCATAGAATGTGCCAAGAATTTTTGGTTTCTTGGCTTTAGCACTATTGACATTTTGTGCTGGATAATTCTTTTTGGGGATTTAAGAGGGACATCCTGTATATTATGGAATATTTATAGGACCTCTCAGCTGTATGTAGGTAGATGCCAGTAGCCACGTCCCTGCCTCAGTTGTGCCAGTCGATGTTTGAGAACCACAGTGTTAGAGTTTGGATCCAAAATACCACCCAAAGTTTACGTGCTGGGGCCTCGATTGCTACCTGCTGGCCTTTGAGGAGTGACTCAGTCGTGAGAGTGCTGGTCTCATCCCTGGATGAGTCTACAGATGAGTCCCATTGACAGGGTCATAGTACAGAGGGCTATTAGGAGTCAGGGCCCAGGTGAAGGGCGTGGATCTGTACCCTTGGGGACTCTATGTTATCCCTTACCCTGTCCACTCTGACTCTTTCCTTTCTCATTGCTTCCTGGCTACCCTGAAGTAAGCTGCTCTACCGTGCCTTTCCACTGCGATAATCTGCCTTGACACAGGCCTAAAAGCTATGGAGCAGCTGATCAAGGACTGAAGCCTCTGAAAGCATGAGAGGAAATAAACCATTCATTCCATCTTTCAGTTGCTCTTCTCAGGTATCTTGTCACGATGACAAAGATACCACAACTGATTTAAGCAGCCAGGAAACGGAGTTGCCATTTACTGAGATGGTGAGGCTTGGGGAAGAGCAGATGTTGGTGGTAAGATCAGTATTTCTGTTATGCCTGAAGTACCCATTCAAGATCCCTAGGAAAGAATTGAATAGGTCATTGGATACGTCAGGCTGGATCGGGACTGGCAAGATTAACTTGAAAATTGTCAGCATTCGGTATCTAAGGCCATGGAATAAGATGAGACCCTAGATGGAAAATTCCAAGCAGTAAGCCATGGGGAATTCCAGTATTTCACCATCAAGGGAAAATAAGAAAAGAGAGCTAAGCTAAGAAGATATTTCAGGGAGAAGAGTGTAACAGTCACAGAGAGATGGAGTAAGTTCTCTGGTGCAGTAATAAAAAAGCCATCTCATTTAGTCCCCGGGGTTATCATTCCTGTATCATTGGTGACCGCGGTAGCCCCTGCTGTCCAGGGCTTCAGTTCTAGAGGTGCTTCATTTTCTTCAACCATGGACAATAATTCAGGCCACCATTATGCCAGTGTGTATCACAGACTTACACTATCTCGTCCCCAGGACAATGTAGGGGGTTATCACCCTAAGCCCAACTAGGGCTGATACCCAGTCCCAGAATCCCTCCTTTGGGAGTGTGTTTCCTGGAGACCTCAGTCTTCTGCTAGCTGCCTGGTTTGGAAGCACCCACATTTGCCTGCCACTGCCTTTGATAGTACTTAACCTGCAACTGGCACATACTGCTAGTGCTCCTTCCATACACCCTCCCTCCATCGGGCACAACTGCCCCTGTGGCGACACGTAATGGAAAGACCACTGCATACATTAGATTTCTGTCTTGCAAAGAGAGAGAACTTGAAGGGCATGTAAAGAGTGCCAAGAGGTACAATTTTTAGAAAGCCCAGGAACAAGGAAAATTAAATACTATATTGTATAGGGCATATGTATTTGTGATAAAATTGTATTCTAAAATGTAAAAGAACGATTGAGATATAATTCAGGAGGGTGGGGTAGGAAAGGAATCCACCATTAGAAACAAAGGCATGGGGTAATGTTGTGCTTATTAGGTGGGTGGTAGGCACCCGTGTGCTCTTCACATTATATTGTGATGCTTACCTATGTATCACATTTTCTTTTGAGTGTATAAAAATTTTTAAATTTGTACAGTGGGAATATGAAGCAAAAAAAAAATGGCAGATAGTCACAGAGTACCCAATTCCCTTGAGAATGTAAAAGCATTCAGAACACCTTTTTAAAAAGAATTTTAGTGGGATGTGAATACCCTTTTATATACAGATGTAGTTGGTTTATTAAAGTGGCTCGATTTGGGCTAAAAGTATAAACAACTTTTAAAATTTTTTCTAATAACTTTTTACATATGTTCAACTGTATTCCCTTATCTGCATAATTACAGAGATTCCTAGGGATCACAGGGACATTTTTCTGGGTCAGTTTTTGTTATTCAAACAATCTCATTTGTCTTTTTAAAACTCTAATTACATAGTGTTCTTCTTTCTTACCTACTGAACAGACTGTGGCTCTTGGAAGATAGAATGTCAGGAGACAAAAATGGTCTGCTCTCAGACAATCCCTCTTGTTTGGTATTCAAACCGAGAGGCTCAAAACAACCATTTTACCTAAGTCGTGATTTCTTAATTAGGAAATTGGATAGGGTTCACTCGGCAATTTGTGATTGAAGTGGGAAGGTAGAGGCTGGAGGATCTATCACCAGGTCTCTGACTATCACAAGTGTGGCATTTCTCTCCTCTCCCAAGAGGCAGCTGTCATGCGTGGGCTTCTCTAGGCACTGTGGTTGCAGCAATATCATCCTTTTTTTAACAAAGCAACTACCACTCAAATTGAAGACAGTGGAAACTGCCAGACCAGTTAAAGCCCACATCACAGAGTCACTGTTTCTTCTGCTGCATTCTACTGGTCCGAGCAGCCACAGGTGTACCCGGATTCAGGGAGGGAAGCAATTGATG